TTTTTTTAATAATTTACATATTTCTAACTACAAAACGAATATTTTGATGATCATTTCTGATTTTTTTAGCGATATACAGCCAAATCGCGGTGGTTCACCTTCCCCCACTGACTCCTCGGCGCCTGACCGACCGCTTGCAGGTCCGAGTTTTAGAACCTTGGCTTTATGTATTGTTTAGTAATTTTTTTAGAATGTGGGTTCAACCACTAGGGAGTAAGGTCTCATGCAAATTGTAACGTCCCGACCGCCACCTTTTAATGGGCCCCACGTCCTCTCTCGGCCCGTGGATCCACCCTTGTCCGACGGCCGGTCCGTTACGTCCAGGAGGCTTTAAAGACTTGTTTACCGACCCTAAAAATCACCACATGATCTTTCCTTGTGTTTTGTCCTCACTCACACAGTTCCGACAATCACTTCCTGGAAGGTCACCCATCTTGAAATTGCTTCAGCTCAAATACCCTTAACTGTGGAGTTCTCTCAGGACAGTTGGCTGAAAAGATAAGTGCACTTTGGTGACATAAATGGCCAAATCAATTATTTTAAACCTCTCCGCATGCACTACCATATTACTGAAACCGGAGTGTTACACAAACACAACAAACACGTCAAAGCGCAGAAAACATGATGGTAAGGTGTTTTTTGATGGCTTTGACATCCAAGTAAAAAAATATAGCAAAAAGAGAGAGACCATGGGTTGGAGTCGTGGAGAGAGTAATGTAAAAAAATGGGAGAAAGAGAAGGGTTTGGTCACACCGGACCAAAAGTGACGGTCCACGGTATATCTATCCGTTTATAGACTTTTTAAGGCGAAAACGGAGAAAAGGAGTAGTGTTTGGGGGTGGAGATGATCGGAAGTGGTATTTAAAAGTGACTAGAAAGTGGTTGGAAGTATGGCTGCAGTGTTTGTCTGACATATTTTAGAGAGTAAAGGAGAAAAAAGTGTTTATACACTACAAAGTAATGTGGAAAATCGGATTGTAGATAGATAGTGAAAATTTAATCCTTTTTTGTTTAGAAAAAGTTGTATTTATAGAGTTTTATCTCTTCGGGCTCAGATACCTAGTTAAATATTCATATCCAGGACGGATTCGAATCCATCAATTTAGGCATGTACTAGGCACTTGAGTGCTTTTCACCTACTATCCTTGCCTTTGTTTGCTTGCAAACCGGGAAAATAATTCCAAGGTTTAAGATATAACAAGCCGAACCCCATAAAATTCCTTTCGGGAAAGGGAGTACCGCGACAACCGAGACCTAAAAACTCTTCTCCCTGAGCTAGCAAGAAAAGAGACATCGATGCTAACCCTCACTTCCCCCGACGCTCACCCTTGAACCACTCCAAAAGCTAAACTCAACTTCAGATCCGACAAACAGAAAGCTAATCACGGCGGTAGATGATGGATGCCGGCTCAAACACGCCACCAACCACCGAGAACCGGTCAAGGGTTTTGGCCAAAACATGTAATCCTCCCAGGTCCGAAACCATAACATGTAATGTTAGTTTTGTCACAAGCATCACTCGAACCGGCGACCTCTAAACTTAGCTTAGGATCTTTACAAGTTGAGCTAACGACACTTGGTAAGACTTAAAACATTCTAACCATCTTCCATGTATCAAATCAGCCAAATATTCATCGAGAAAAACTTCGTTACTCATCAGCCAAATATTCTCGATAGCTATACTCCAAAATAGAACGTTTTGAGTGAGAAACACTCTAAATTTAAAGAAAAAATATATAATTTTAAGTGGAAAACATTCCAGCAGCAAAATAAACTGTTAAACATTTATAAGGTGTGAAACGTCGATCTTTGTTTGATTAACATGTGTTTTTATTTAATACATAAGCCTAAAATGAACAGTGTTGGTTGTTATTTTGTACGAGATACATTATGTGCAACTAAGACATCAACAAGTCACAAAACAAAATTTTTTTCTCCTATAATTTCTGTTTTTATGTTCCTTGTTGCAAAGTTTCATATCCCTTCAGTGTCCAACAGAAACTTTGACGTACGAACAAGCTTGATGCCTCCTATTCGAATAGCTTCTATTATTGCATTTACTTCAAAGCAATTGAATCGATGACTTTTCTTAATATATGTATAACCTTCCGCTTTCCATGTGACAAACTGATTGCAAAAGTCTCATGCTTCAGCTTATATATATATCCAATTATACATATATAGATATAGTGAACTTGCTATGTATTTTGCAACCATTCATATATATATGTTTTCCAAAACAGATATGGTGAAGTTGATTCTACTATCTCTTATAATTTCATATATACACACAAAATATCAATGCTTCGAGTCTCCATATATCGCTAAGATATATCGAAAACGATAATGATCAGGCTGAAGCTCAATTTCAGATGGTAAGAATCCTTCAATCTGAAACATTTAATCCACATTTGAACCAATACCATGGTAAACCCAGTTGACTTTGGTATTGACATGGGTAGAATTCGTAAAACCGAACAAAACCGGACAAAATTAAACGAAATTGTCTTTCCACTTCCATAGTGACTAAACAAAAGTTTAGTGTACAACTAAGTATAAGATAGTACCATCTTTTGTCAACTATTAGATTGTACTTAGATCATCATTAAGTACTAAAGAAACCTTTGACCAAGAATAACAGTACTAAAATAATCTCACTCAAAAATGGGAAGAGAATGTTATAACAAAACCAAATTGGTATTAGTTACTTATCACTTTGATCTATAAATAAAATGTCATTCATTTTCTTTTGTTGATCTATTTTTTTCATCTATGAAGACTCAAGAACTCAAGTGACGACTAAGGAAAATGCTAGAAAAGTCCCGAAATTCATTGATTATTTTATTTACAGAGATTTTAATTGGTTAATAAACTCGGAACTAAATATGGAAAATCAAATAATGAAAAAAAGAAGGAATTAAAGGGTACAACCACAAAATATGAAGAAGCAACAGATCGTAGTAACGATAGCTAAAGATTCAACGATCGAGACAAAACTCCACAAAAGATCATCAATTATGGAGAGATTACCCGACAAAGACAACAATCTCATGTTCCAACCGGAGCTCAGGGATGAAAGATTCACCTCCGGCCACCGGAATGCCCATGATGACGACAGATACGACGGTAGATCCATCAACGTCCATCGGGAAGCTGACATCACCAAGTTTTGCTCTCTTCTTCTTCTTCTCTGTTTTCTAGTTTTGGGTTATACAATCTTTCTTCTGGGTTCTTCTTCTCTGTTATGTTTTTGCAAGAAAGCTAAAAACAAAAGATGAGAATTTATTAAAATAATGCTGTGAGTCACTGTTTATGACAAGTGGTTTTGATTTAGAGGTCATTCTTTTAATAATTTTCTAATGTTTAACGTATCTATAGTCCACAAAATATCTTAAGTTTGTAGGACCAGATTCCACAAATTACTGATATATGCTATCCACTTTGATCCGTTTTGAAAATTTGGATACCCAATAACACGTTGAATATAAAGGAAGAGTGAAATTACGTATTTATCTTGAGCTGAATAATTGAAAAAACTATCATTTATTATTTTATTAGATTCAAAATAGTTTATTCAAACATTATATATAGGAAATATAAAGAAAAATAAATTTGTTCATACCAAGTAGGTCTTGGACTACTGCTACAAAAAAAAAACTCCTATCTTTTTGTGAGGACAAAAGTTAAAAACTTGTCGATATTTTGGTCCCATATTCATCCGAACGTGTTTCATGCTTCCGTTGGGTCTTCTTGTGTTTGTCCCACTATAATTGCTTTAGTGGCTGATTATCATTAATGATCATTGTGTTCTGTCAGTATTACTACTATATGTGTCCAATTCATTTAAAGGAAAATTTAGGCACTAGCTAGCATTCAATTATGTTTTTGGATGTACAAATAAAATTGATCTTAGGTTCTTTGAGCTTAATTACCAACATTTTGAAAATGGTATTCATTCCAACCTAGCACGTACGGCAAACAAAATCCGCTTTTATTCAGGGCCGTCCCTGAGCACAACAACATGAAACAATTGCTTGGGGCTCCCAAAAAATTTGTTGCAAAATTAGGCCTCTAAATATATTTTTGATTGCAAAAATAGGCTCCATTTTCTTAAAATTTTAAGTTTTTGGTGTCAAATTTTACAATTGATTTATAAAACCCAACAAAAGTTCAGGTTTTCATATTATTTTTTTACAACGTACACCAAAATGCCAGATACAAATATACCAAAATGCCAGATACAAATATAAATATTTTATTTCGTTTGCGTTTAGCGTATGTGACAAATAAAAAAATAGTACTAGATAGAAAGAACTATAAATTTTAATTTGTATAAAACTGTCTCGTACGTAGCTATGATTTGAGATTGGATAATGACGTGCTTGTATAACGTGAGTTACGTGACTTATATTCATGTGCGGATGGACCTTCAAAGAGAGTGAAGCACGATGAGTCTCTCTTTCTTTGTTTATTTGTTTATGATTCTTACTCGATAAAGTGATTCAAAATTATATTCATAACTAGTAGAAAGTAAAGATAGTGTGATGTGTTTTTCTTTTCTTTTGAGGATTGAATTTGAATAACATTTTAGGACAATAACGAATTGTGTATATGATTTCTGATAATCTGATTCCAAGCCAGGATCACTTTTAGAACCCGTTCACACACATTTGGATATTCTTTTATGTTCCAAACTGGATCACCCATAATTTATTTACTAAACTCTCTCCTTTCGAAAAGGAAATATTAAGAGCCCAATACACGCATTCACTATTAAATACCAAAACTTTGATTTATTTTTTGTTTTGTTTTGTGAATAGCCCCAACAAATTAAAATTAAAATTTTTATCATATTTGATCTAATAATATTTATTTACGTCAATTCTAATAATGATTTTTTAATATTTAAAATACACTAATTATAAGAATTCAATTTAGTGTAGTAGTTTTGAACTTTCTAAAATCATTTTATATATTAAAGAAGTTTATAATTCAATCAGGAGCACACAAATGTTAGGAATATATAAAGTTTTGTAATTGAAAACCCTAAAAAGTCTGGTAGCTCTGTTGGATAATTAGTGTTAATTGTTTTCATTCGCATCTCTGGTTCGAATCGTAAAGGTTTCATATTTTTTTTTCTTTCTCGTTTTCACTTTCTTCTTCCCTTCCCTTCTTCGCCGATTGCCCGGAGGAGCCGACTATTTCTCCTCTCTCTCTACTTGATTTTCAGGTTCTTGCCCTCTTTCTTTCTTTCTTATGCAGTTCCGTTTCTATCAGCTCAAGATTTATCGACTAGTTTTTCTGAAAGTATCGGTTTTTTTTTTAGTGATTAGACAAGTTTTAATCTTGGCTCATGAACTTTGTTATGTTTAACGACTTGGGTTTGATCGGTGTATTGTTTTGTTGAATTGTCAATGAAAAAAAACCTTAATTTGCATTGTCACAGGAAGTAAAAAGATGGACTTTGATGATGAAGACAAACCAAAAGAGGTTGCCAAAACCCGTAGATTCGCTCCTTGCCGTGCCGGAAAGTCTAAACCCAAACCTAAACCGGAACCCACTGCACAGAAACCGGAGCCGCCGCAATCACAAACTGACTCTGTGAGCAAGAGTGAGCATGACGTTGATGCTAAAGGTGCTGGTCCTAAGGTTGAAACTGAGGTTTATAATGGCTCTGTTAAAATGGAGATTGATTCAAAAGTTGATAAAGAGCCAGAGTTCATGGATACTGAGTTGATTGAGGAAGATGAGCAGCTTCCATTGCAAGAGGAGAAGGAGGAGGAAGAAGAAGAAGAAGAAGATGTTGTTGTTCGTGAAATCGATGTTTTCTTTAATCCGTCTATTGATGCTAATACTCAGGTCTATTGGATTAGATTCTTCAAAACAACATTTTAATTTTGCTAAACGTTCTTAGAGTTTTGATTAATGTGTGTTTCTTAAATGTGACAGCTTTATGTTCTACAATATCCTCTAAGACCATCTTGGCGACCATACGAAATGGATGAACGATGCGAAGAAGTGAGTGTTCCACTTTGTGTATTGCTATTACTTGATCTGCTTTTTGTTTTGGTTCTAATCTTTTTGTTTGTTTATGTGTCTTTAAGGTTAGAGTGAATCCTTCTACATCGCAAGTGGAAATTGATTTGTCTATGGATGTTCATTCGAAGAACTATGACTCCAATTTTGGACTAAATATGACTAAGCAGGTAGTGTTTTTAGTTCTAAGCTTTATTCAAGTTTAATCTTTTTGATGCAAATTCATTTTTTTCGTTTTTTTGTTCTTTTGGGTAGACCTTGAAAACAACATGGAAACAGCCTCCTACTTTGGATTATGCTGTTGGGATTCTTTCAGGTGATAAGGTATTTTTTCCTCGTTTTCGAAAGCTTGATAACATTGTTGTATAGTGTGGACTGGATATCTTGTTAAATTGGACTTGTTGACTTGCAGTTACACTTGAATCCTGTCCATGCTGTTGCTCAGCTCCGACCGTCTATGCAGTATCTTTCATCTGACGGCAAAAAGAAACAAGCAGAATCTACTGAAGAATCTGTCGGAACATCCAAAAAACAGGTATAGATCATGATCTGACATTAGCTAAAGAATTGAGGTATATAGATTGGCCTGAGTAGTTAGTTTGGCTACTTGTGCCACCGTTTATATGATACTAGTTTTGAGTCCATATATTTCATCTGTGGCAGAACAAGGGAGTGCAGGCTTCGACAGATCAGAAACCAATTAACGAAGAAGTATGAGATTTGGTTTTATTTTGTTTTTATGTGATCCTTTCTTTTCTTTGGTTTGTTGGTGGTTATGTAAACTTAAGCTGCTATCTTTCTTCTTCCTTTAGACTTGGGTTGCACTCAAGTATCATGGACTTCAATCCGAATATTGCTCCAGATATCTGAACGGGATGATGGCGAATGGGAACTCTTCATTAGATTTCAACATGAGCCCGTATGATGCCTTCCTTTTCACTGAGTTCGCATGAGATAATTTGGGTTTTTCCTGCTTACTATAAACTTTTTTCTTTTTTCTAAATAACCTCTTGTATTTCCTTGAAGGCAAGTTTATATCAATGAACTGTGCCGTGGGGGAAGCAGCAGAAACTCTGAATCGAAAGAAACATCGAAAAGGTACAATATATCAGGGTCATCTAGTTAACATTTGTCATCTTATCATCGAAAAGAAATCACTGTTGCTTTACCAATGCCTGGTCATCTGTGTCATCTAGTCAATATTTACACCCTTTCTTAAGATATAGTCTTCTGCTTTCAGGGTCTTGCTTTCCCTACCACTTGAAGAACGTGTGAAAAAGTTGCTCTGCGAGGTTGGTAACTATTGTAATCAGCATTATGTTTCTCAATTATTCTGTTATTTTCTGTTTTTCAAGATGAAGGTTATATGGTTCCAGCCTTTAGTATTGAATAAAATATAAGCCATTTGTCTAACTCGTTCGAATCATAACAGGGATCTCCGTTGCTTCGATACAGTGTTCTTAAGCATTATGCCCCTGAGTTCTCAGACGAGGATTTCTTAGGGGCCCTCCAAGAAGATGGCTGGTTAGTTCAAGGTTTATGGACTCCCAAAACTAAGCTACTGGGACTAGATAAAAACTGTGGAAGTATCAGGGATTATGTCCTGTCTCTGTTCAGCCAGAATACAACTATAAAGTACTCTGAAGTTGAAGCAACGGGTTTTCAACGCGAGAAGAAGAAAACTATGGAAACTATGTTGACTGAATTTGCCAAAGAAAGGCCTCTGCTAAACGATTGGAAGTTCAAAGAGCCCACTGATGTCTCATTCATAAAATCCTACCCGGAGATTGTTAAGGAGCAAGATATTTTATGGACGAATAGGAAAGAGATTATAGAGTCAATAATAACCACCCAAGGAGGAAAAAGTAGAGCTGATAATAGGAGGAATGTTGTTGGCAAAAATTCTTCAGTTACAGTTAAACCGGAGGTTCCAACAACCCTCTCGGACAAAGGAGGAAGTTCAAGAAATACGATACCTCGTGTTGTTGGACAAAAAATGCCAGAAGAACTTCGGTGGGCGTTACCAAAGGCCTTGAAAAAGGTGTTTCAAACTCACAAAGTTTGCAGGTGGGATTCTTGAGAATTATACTCTGCAATTATCTAAACTTTGAAATTTTCAGATTTTGTTTCTTTCATAACATGTGAATTTCTTACGAAAAAGGAACGAGAGTTAATTACAGAAACTTATGGCTAAGTAGTTTAAGTGACCCTCAAAAAGAAAAAGCCATTGTGAAACTAAAACTGTTAGAATCAGACATTACGTGTGAGTAACCTCTTTCTTGGATTCCATATGGATTTTTGTGCAGGTATGAGACGATCTGCCAAGGACTTAGGGATCTTGCAGTTTCGACATCAAATAATCCAAAAGCTGATTCAGGAATGGCAGTGAATGTGGCGTTAGCCGTGGATGCTTACCAGGACGAGCTCAAAGACGTTATAAGTGAAGTGGCTGCTAACATTCACGGGTCTTATGTCTCCATATCATCTCCAGACCATCCTGAATACGATTCTTTGAGGTTATTTGTTGTTGGAACATGATCACATTGGTTCTTTATGTTTCTGTCGAATCTCTAATTTCTCTGTTCTTTTATCATCAGGGGAGTGGTGATTAGCCTTTTTTGCGGAACTGGACCTGGAGCAAAGCTTATGAAGGCTGAAGTATTTGCAGCAGGCAGGAACGAACTTAAACGTGAAATCACCAACAACGAATATATAAAGGTCTTCACTTGAGCTCTCTTTCGACTTTTTTGTGTGTTTCGACCAAAGCGTGGTTTTAGTCTCTAAACTTTGTCTGTTGTCACAGGTGATGCACGATCTCTGTGAAACCAACTCTTCAGGATGGATTTTACAGAAAGCTCGATGATGAGTTATCACCACTCACAAATCATCATGACTAGATTTTAATGATCTATAAATTTTGATATATCCTAAGAACTCATTTTGTAAACGGTTCAGTAATTTTGAGGGATTCCTATTTTATTTTCCCTTTTTGAAATCAAACAACCTTTTTCTATTACTCAACTAGAGTTGGCCACACCAACAGGGGAAAATAACATAATAAACAACAAAAGAACTAAACACCACACATAGACGACTAAGTTACAAAAGCTGGATTAGACATTTGTTGATTGGAGAGGCATTGCATTGCTCAGAAAGAGCTTCAAACTCGACAGGGAGTGTCCTAATGTTTTCTATTGAAAACTTAAGCTCTTCAAATATATTTTACATGCAAGAATGTAAAAAAAGAAAACAACAATGGAAACATCAAATCGGAAGAAAGTGTAAATACTTGAAACTGTTCAGTCTAAAGGTTATCACAGTTGATGTGAACTCTCAAGTAAATTTGAAACAAAAAAAAAGTAATAAGAACTCATAATTTGTTGTTCAAAACGGGAACCAGAGAAACATTGTCAATCTAATTCAGTTACTTGAAGAGGCTGCAAACCCGAATTCAATCTTGTGTGTCGTTTCACCATCCTCCTTTGCAGCTGAAGTACTCTCAGAATATGTGCACCAAGTCATAAGCAAATCTACTCCATTGTTAAGGAAACCTACTGAGATAAATAGAAACAAAAGAGAGATGTTTTCGAGTGCGCAATCTCTATATGAAGTTACCATTTACTAAAACCAAAAAGGCCATTTCTATGCTAATCACAGGTTCTTAAGAAGCTAATCCTTTTTACCTACACCATACCATATATGTTCTTTCATAAAGCTACTCAACCTTTGATTTAGTTTTTCACATTTTCATAAAATGAGTATGACCACCAAATTGAGTTTTAAGGATACGTCCAGAACAGCACAAACGACTGCCAAAAAGAAAACAACACCGCATTTAGTATGAGATTAACAGGTTGAATCAACAACTTGTATCTTGAAACAAAACAACAACGTAAGAAACTGAAATGATGATATACCATAAGGCCACCAAGAAAGCCGTCAAAAAGGACCCGATTCCACGAATCAAAGTACAAGTCAGCTGAGAATCCTGCCTTAGCCATGAGCCCAACTGATGTGATCAACATCACCACAAAGTAAAATACAAAACCAGTCAAGCCATTGAACCCAATTATTCCTGCAAGGACACCAGCGATAATCGACAGAAACGTCCGGCTGCAAACAAGAAAACATTAGGGACAAAAACATCGTCAAAAAACGAGAACCATCATCTTTTTTAGAAAACGAAAGAGAGAAAATTGTATTGAATCAGACCTGTTTTGGATGACTTTCAAATTGTTCTGCAAATTCTCTGCACTGAAAGTTGGTATGTCACTCATGATATCCTTTGATCTCTTCTCAGATGAACCCATTTAAGATAGCAACAATCTGAAACAACAGAAATTTCAAATCTTTATATTGTATGTAACATAGAGTGAGTGTATAGATTAGAAAACCTAAAAAGAATTGATTTTTCAGCAAATTTTCCACAGGAAAATTAGGGGTTTGTACTTGATTCAATGATTCCATAACTGGGTTTCGCTATCTAAACATCATGATAAAGTTCGATTCCTAAAGGTTAAGACTTTACGATTATCTCTTAAGTAGTCCCTACAAGAGAGTGGGAGCAACCTATGGTTAATCGATCTGGGTTTTGTCGATCTCTTAAGTCAATTCCGATCTACTACTTTGAGATCTACACAAACTTTATAAAAGGAATTGAAAAAGACTTACAATTAGAAACGAGAGTAGTAAGAAGAAGATCGAAGCAGCTTGATTGGTACTTGGGAGGAATTAATGGAATGGATGAGCCAATTTGAGAGAGAAAGAGATCAGAGAACAACAGACGAGTACTCGTAAATCTATATATAATAGCAATCTAATAAATATCATTTGCACATCTGAACGGTTGCGTCTTTTTATCGCAACTTTTCGTTTAAATCGGTTATTTTTTTACGGTTATGTCTTTTTATTGAATTTTCTCTTTGAATTTTCGTTGAATTATTTACGGTTATATTTGTTCAATTACAGTCGTATCTTTTCAGTTTACAGTTATATCTTTATAGTTGCATTTATTCATTTAAAGTTACGTCTTTTCATTATATAATTTCATTGCATTTTTTGTATAGTTAGTAATACTACGAAGTTTTTTTACATCAACCATTAGACAACATATCAAATTGGTTTTATTAACCAAAATAACAACCTCAATAAATGCATTTTGCACTTCTGAACGGTTGTGTCTCTTTATCGTAACTTTCCGTTAAAATATTAACGGTCATTTTTTCGGGTGTGTTTTTTATCGCAACTCTTCATTAAAATATTGACGGTTATTTTTCGGTTGTGTCTTTTTATTGCAACTTTCCGTTAAAATATTGGTTGAGACTTTATTCGTTTGTGTCTTTTTATCGCAACTTTCCGTTAAAATATTGACGGTTATTTTTTCTCGGTTATGTTTTTTTATAGTAACTTTCCATTAAAATGTTGACGGTTATTTTTTTCTCGGTTGTGTCTTTTTATCGCAACTCTTCGTTAAAATATTGACGGTTAATTTTTTAGTTGACGGTTATTTTTCGGTTGTGTTTTTTTCTCGCAACTTTTCGTTAAAATATTAACGGTTACTTTTTTCATTGACGGTTATTTTTTTGGTTGTGTTTTTTTCTCGCAACTTTCCGTTAAAATATTGACGGTTATTTTTTTCGTTTTCTGTTTTTTATCATAACTTTTTGTTAAAATATTGACGATATTTTTTTCTCAATTGTGTCTTTTTTTGTCTGTTAAAATATTGACGGTTATTTTTTTCTCGATTGTGTCTTTTTATCGCAATTTTTTGCTAAAATATTGACAGTTATTTTTTCTCGGTTGTATCTTTTTATCGCAACTCTTCATTAAAATATTGACGATTACTTTTTTCGTTGACAGTTATTTTTTCGGTTGTGTCTTTTTATCGTAACTTTCCGTTAAAATATTGATGGTCATTTTTTTTGTTTGTGTCTTTCTATCGCAACTTTCCGTTAAAAGTTTGACGGTTATTTTTTCTCGATTGTGTCTTTTTATCGCAACTCTTCGTTAAAATATTGACGGTTCTTTTTATCGTTGACGATTATTTTTTTGGTTGTGTCTTTTTATCGCAACTTTCCGTTAAAATATTAACATTACTTTTTTCGTTTGTGTCTTTTTATCGCTATTTTTTGTTAAAATATTAACGGTTATTTTTTTCTCGGTTGTATCTTTTTGTCCTAGCTCTTTGTTAAAATATTTACGGTTACAATTTTTCATTGATGGTTATTTTTTCGGTTGTGTCTTTTTATCGTAACTTTCAGTTAAAATATTGACGGTTTCTTTTTTTGTTTTTGTCTTTTTATCGTATTTTTCCGTTAAAATATCGACGGTTTCTTTTTTTCGGTTGTGTCTTTCTATCACAACTTTTCGTTAAAATATTGACGGTTACTTTTCTCGGTTGTGTCTTTTTATCGCAATTCTTCGTTAAATATATTGACGGTTATTTTTTTCCGTTTGTCTTTTTATTGCAATTTTTCGTTTAAATATTGACTGTTAATTTTTCTCGGTTGTGTCTTTTATCGCAACTCTTCGTTAAAATATTTACGGTTACATTTTTCGTTGACAATTATTTTTTCTGATGTGTCTTTTTATCATAACTTTCCGTAAAATGTTGACATTTACTTTTTTTGTTGTGTCTTTTTATCGCAACTTTTCGTTAAAATATTGACGGTTATTTTTTCTCGGTTGTGTTTTTTTATCGCAACTTTCCGTTAAAATATCGACGGTTATTTTTTCTCGGTTATGTCTTTTTATCGCAACTCTTCGTTAAAATATTGACGGTTACTTTTTGTGTTGACGGTTATTTTTCTGGTTGTGTTTTTATATCTTTTTGGTTTTGACCCGCTATAATTTTTTCTCTCTATATTATAACTCTTCGTTAGTTATTTTGTCACTTATAAATAATTTTATATTCACAAAAAATGTTTCAAAAGTGTTTTTAAATCATAATTTTTTTTTTACATTTTTATTCATAATTTTTTTTTTAATATCTTTAGAAAATATTTACGATATAACTTTAAGACATAGTTAATTTTATATAATAATTCAATTATTTGAATATATTATAATAATTTAATACATAAACGTAATAAAATATATTTGTTGAAAATGAGTTTCCCCGCGATATCGCGGGGTTCATAACCTAGTCTCTCTAAAGCCAATCAGAGTTTTTTTTAGCCCAAAAAAGAACACACAGACAAAAAAAGTAATATATAAACCAGAAAATCGAACCGGAACCAAACCTTAAACCGGAATGTCCACTACTATCCAAAATTAACAAACACTCCAACTATGCTAGTAAAATTTCTTGATATTGAAACGGATAAGTGATAACATGATTATATATCACAATTTGTGATTTAAAAAAAGTTCATTTCAACAATTGTTACCACTAAAGGTGAGCAGCTCAGTTTGTTGCAAGTTTATAGCTAAATTTAAACTGAATCTAGTTCGGTTTGGATTACTTTGCTTAGGTTTATGTTTAACAAAACACTAAAACAATTTATTAAAGAGAGAACGATAAACTGTTATAGAAGTATGAAGTATAGGTACCAAAAAATTTAGGTTTTTATGTTTGTTCAGTCAGATGATTCATCTGGATGCAGATGATAAATGATGTTTGTTAAAGACAATTTAATAAAACAATTAGATGAAGTAGTTGGATGACCTTTATAAAATTTATTAAAGAAACACAGAAAATCCGGTTGAAATGGTGCTTTCGGCGGTAGCAGGTTCAGCCAAAAATACAAAATGTCTAAAATACTCTCGCTTAATTAAAAAAATTTACACTAATATTGGGCCTACTTGGGCTTTGTATATATCGACAAATATAAGTCGGTTTGTTTGATTAGGTTAACGTACATTCTCCTGTATATAAGGCACTTGGCCGTCGCATATGATCAATAAGAAATACCTTTTACAACTACTAAGGTGTTCTTAACATGGTATCAGAGCAAACCTAAACTACAAAAAGGTTTGTTTCGATCTCTGTGATCTTGAAATTCCGTTACACATAAAATCTCTGTTCTTATTTTTTCGATTTCTTTGACCTAAGATTCTGACTCTATTCCTAGTCAAATCTCTCTTGCGATGGCTACTGCTTCAAACACCTCGTCGGCTACTTCATCAGCTCTCACCGATGTGGTCACTGCAGCTCGTGTTGAAACTCGTCGCATGATCTCACCGTATGATTTAACTTCTGGAGATAATCCAGGAACCTTGATTTCCAAGCCTTTGTTGCGTGGCCCTAACTACGACGAATGGGCAAACAATCTGAGGCTTGCATTGAAAGCACGAAAGAAATTTGGTTTCGCCGAGGGCTCTATACCACAGCCCGACGAGACATCACCAGACTTTGAGGATTGGATAGCGAACAATGCACTCGTTGTTTCGTGGATCAAGCTTACAATTGATGAAAGTTTATCCTCTTCCTTGTCCCACACTGATGACTCCCATGAGCTTTGGACACACATCCAGAAGCGTTTTGGCGTGAAGAATGGTCAGCGGGTCCAACGTCTCAAGACTGAATTGGCGAATTGCAGACAAAAGGGACTCGCTATCGAAGCTTATTATGGGAAACTAACTCAGCTGTGGAGGAGTCTTGCCGACTACCAACAGGCAAAGACAATGGAAGAAATAAGAAAGGAACGTGAGGAAGACAAGCTTCACCAGTTCCTTATGGGACTTGACGACTCTCTGTACGGCGCCATCAAATCAGCTCTTCTCTCTCGGGTTCCTCTTCCAACGCTTGAAGAAGCGTACAACTCTCTGACCCAAGACGAAGAATCGAAGCTGCTGGGCCGTTTGAATGATGAAAGAAGTGACGGAATGAGCTTTGCGGTGCAAACCACTTCTTCACAAAATTTCGGAGCCGATTACAAAGGAGGAAAAGTTACATGTTCAAACTGTGGTCGAAATGGACATGTGGCTGAGAATTGTTTTAGGCGAATTGGTTATCCCGAATGGTGGGGAGAAGGAAAACCACCTCGTAATAAAAACGGAAACAATTCGTTTAAAGGCAATCAGAATTCCGGTGGTGCTGGGCGTGGAACATTGACGATTTCAGCAGGCTCGACGATGAGCAAAGGACCTGAACTAGCTCGTGCAAATCATGTCTTGACAACGCCTGCTGCTGTCTCTGGTTTCGGGCTTAATGTTGCTGCATTGCCAAATAATCCACCATTAACGGATGCAGACCGGGTCGGGATTAGCGGTTTAAGTGATCCGGATTGGAAGCTGCTCCAACACATGCTTGTTCAGTCAGATGATTCATCTGGATGCAGATGATAAATGATGTTTGTTAAAGACAATTTAATAAAACAATTAGATGAAGTAGTTGGATGACCTTTATAAAATTTATTAAAGAAACACAGAAAATCCGGTTGAAATGGTGCTTTCGGCGGTAGCAGGTTCAGCCAAAAATACAAAATGTCTAAAATACTCTCGCTTAATTAAAAAAATTTACACTAATCTCTTTTTCATCTCTAATTCTTAGGCAAAAGAAGAGAAATGAGATTTAGAATTTTCTCACTCGGCTACTCCTCTTTCATCATCTTTTTCGCCGGATGAACAAACGAACACGGCTTTAGTATATATACTACGATTGCTTGCTACAAAGCGATACACCCGTATTGAACAAAAAATGTAAAACTCAAATATGTAAACAAAACAACTAAAAGAAGCATACGGTGGTAATTTGGTTTGGTTTGAGAAAAAGCTTAAAACCAACAGTTTGGGCATGGATTTAAATTCGGTTACTGCAGCCCACTACCACTGATGGTTTGGTTCCAGATTGATTTATGCAAATTACAGTCTTGGTTAAAAATTAAACCGAATGTAGACAAAATCTTTCGTCGTATCTAGCTTCAATTTCAACTAAATCCAAATTAGCATTCCAGATTTCGATTCCAACAATCTCAGTACCGATAATTAATTATTGTTACAAAATGCCTCAATCTGTACCAACAGAGTCATTAGAGCGACGATGATGATGAGGATGACGATACTCAGCTCGGATTTTAGATTCTAAGACAGAGACATATCGATCAAGAACAGAGATCACAGCTTCAAACTCCGACACTTGTTTCTCGATTGCATCCATTTGTCCGACAAATTCATCCAAGCCACCACTTTTTGATTTCATCTGCTCTGCGAAAACTCTGAGCCCAGCTGCCACGTCACCCATATCATCGTACTCCGACGCAACTCTCTGATTCATCTTCTCCAATAGATCTAGATGATTGTTCGTTCCCTATTTTTATCCAATTCAATTTTCAGATCTGGGAAACAAATAATTTGGATTATTAATCTGTAAAATTTCGGATTGATTTTTCACCTGGAGCTCGGATTTGACCATAGATGAAACACTCGTGAATAGATTCTGTAGCGATTCAGCTAGATCATCTCGTGAATCCGCCATTGATGAGGATAGATACTTCTTCTCGTAAAGACAACAACAATCAATCAGTTTTTAAAAGGGGTTGCAACAATAAATAGATACCCTGGGGCCTATGAACTTCTCATAATCTCGTTGAGCTGGGCATTCGGGTATGCGGATCGGATTCGGGTAAAACTCGATCGGGTACGAATTTTTCGGGTAAAAGAGTTTAGGACCAATAGGATAAATAAAATAAAATTAATTCGGTTTTGGTTCGAGTTTTTTCGGATTCGGATTGGTTCGGATATAGATTTCAGAACCGCTAAATATCCGCTATATAAATGTTCGGATAAATTTTCGGGTTTTCGGGTACCAGGATTTTGGGTAAATATTCGAATTTTCGGGTTTTCGAATAAAACATTCGGATATTTTTGGATTCGGATTCGGATTCGTATTTTCGAATATATGAGATTAGGACCCAATAGGATAGATCTAAATTTTCTAGTTCAAAAACGGGTCGAATTTTTTGGGTCGGTTCTGGTTCGGGTACTTGGTTCCGGTTTTTTGACCAGCCCTCTCAAACATGTGGAAGCTATTTTTGTAAATCGTACAACTACTAGGACTATTTTGTAAATACTTAAAACTATTGGGGGCGAAAGTAAAAGATAGAACTTGCGACACAAAGACTTTGAGTTGAAACGTGTGACTGACTAGTGAAGAAGACTACAATGTGGCGCCGGAGCTTCAGTACATTACCGAAGAAGAAATGGGACGCGGTGGTGATCGGAGGTGGCCACAACGGATTAACAGCCGCGGCTTACCTGGCACGCGGAGGTCTCTCCGTCGCTGTTCTCGAGCGCCGTCATGTCATCGGTGGCGCGGCAGTGACGGAGGAGATCGTTCCTGGATTCAAATTCTCACGCTGCAGTTACCTTCAGAGCTTACTTCGTCCTTGTATCATTAGGTTGGTTTGATTAACCTTGTTTTGATTTTGTTCTGATCGTTCCTGGATTGTAATTTTGATTTTGGATTCCAAAGAGAATTAGAGTTAGGCAGACATGGACTTAAGCTTCTGAAGAGAAGTCCTTCATCGTTTACACCTTGTTTGGATGGACGTTATCTTCTTCTTGGACCTGATCATGATCTTAATCATTCTGAGATTTCAAAGTTCTCCAAACATGATGCTCATGCTTACCCAAGGTGATTTTTTTAAAAAATACTTTGCTAATGGGCCCGAGAGAGGACGTGGGTGCTCACTGGTAGGGGCGGTCGGGGCGTTACAATTTTTGTTTTGTTTTGTTTTACAGATACGAGAAGCAGCTAGAGAGGTTTTGTGGATTTATGGATCCTCTTTTGGATGCAACTCCACCTGAATCTCTGCAAGGTGTTTCTTCTTTTAATGATAAGTTGAGCAACAAAATGTACAAATCTGCTTTTTGGGCTCGTTGTCTCCGGCAGGCGGTTTCTTTGGGGCATAAAGATATGGTGTATGATCTCCTTTTTAAAAAAAGATTAAGCTGATTTTTGTTTGTTATCTTTCACTGTTTTGTTTAGATGCTCACTAAGTACTGCAATTTTTGTTGATTTTTATCAAACAAGTCTGCATTTTTAATCAGAATGCTCTTTAATGCGGGAATGTTTTTTTTATCTCATGAAGGGATTTTATGGATCTTTTATTGGCCCCAGCTTCAAAAGTTTTGAACAACTGGTTTGAGGTGCTTTTCTTATCTTAGCACCTATTGGTTCTACAACTAGCATTAGCAAGTAGTCTGATGTTGTATTGACACACGTTTTGTGTTGGCCTTATGCTTGAAGTCTGATGTCCTGAAGGCGACTCTTGCGACAGATGCCGTGATTGGATCTACGGTAATTGACCTTCCTAATATCTTACTCATACTATATTGTGGGCTTAATGTAGTGATCTGAACATTAATTCACAGGCTAGTGTCCATACTCCGGGAAGTGGATATGTCCTCCTACATCATGTGATGGGAGAAACAGATGGAGAGAAAGGCATTTGGTCGTACGTATCTGGATTATTAATTTTGTATTTTCCTCTTGATAATTTGGGAATGTTGACATAGCGGTGTATGTTTTGCATAAGTGTTGATGCATAAGCAATTGAAGAACTATCTTACCAGATATTAGTAAACATGCATCTATGTAAGGTCTATATGAAGAGCACAAGATTATCTTTTTAAGAAAACAAGGCCTGGCTATCGTGAGTAACTGGTAAGAAAATAATATGCAGTTATGTTGAAGGTGGGATGGGCTCTGTCTCCATGGCTATAGCCAATGCTGCAAAGGAAGCTGGTGCTGAGATTTTCACAAACGCAGAGGTATTAAATTCTAGATCATTTTGAGATTATCTCTCTTTCCTACGATATGCAAAACAGTGGAGTTCTAGTATCATTTCTCTCATCAGAAATCAGAGTAGCTTAATACATTCATATTTTCCAGGTTTCTGAAATACTATCTGAGGACTCTAGCATCGTTAAAGGGGTTAGTTTGTCTTCAATGATTTGTGGATGAAGTGAAAACGTGAATCAAACTGATATGACATTACCTGGTATAAGGTTTTGCTTGCTGATGGTACACGGGTGGAGTCATCGGCTATACTGTCCAATGCTACCCCTTACAAAACTTATGTGGTAAATCTTGTTAAGTCATTTTTTTTTGTCTAAGTTCAAAACTCCCTGTATATGTAAGTTAAAAGTGTGTTGTTTGCTAACAAATTTACGTTTGTTCTTTCTGTCTTGGATAACAGGAGTTGGTTCCGACCAATGTTCTTCCTGAAAATTTCATCGGTGCTATTAAGAACTCAGATTACAGCTCTGTAAGGATTCCATGTCGTTTAAGTCCCTCATTCTCTGGATCAAGAGAAGATAGATCTCTCTATAGGCGAAATAGTTTTTTTTTTGTTTTTTTTTTTTTAATTACACCATCTAGCTAATTATCTGGTGATTGGTTGTTTAATTGTTGTGAACAGGCAACTACCAAGATAAACTTGGCTGTTGACAAATTACCACAGTTCCAGTGCTGCAACACAAATCATTCAAGTCCAGGTCCAGAGCATTTTGGCACTATACACATTGGTGCAGAGAGGTATCCTTGGTGCTAATTTGTTCCTCGATATTTGTATCTCCAAGAACAAATAAAAGTGATCAATGGCTCTGTTCTATCTTCTCTCTGTCAGCATGGACGAGGTTCACTCAGCATGTCATGATTCTGAAAATGGCTTACCATCGAGAAGACCAGTGATCGAAATGACTATTCCATCCACACTAGACAACACGATTTCTCCCCCAGGTACACATTCTCCCCTTTTTGCTTGTTTAGGATTAGAACTCTGATTGTGATTTTGTATGTAGGGAAGCATGTAATCAACTTGTTCATCCAATACACTCCTTACAAGCCATCAGATGGAAACTGGGAAGATCCTACTTACCGAGTTAGTTGGTTATACACTCTTGGCTAAACATTCCTTTACACTTACAAAACATGGCAAACCCATCCGGATTTGCTTTTGCTTGTGTAAAATCAGGAAGCATTTGCACAAAGGTGTTTCAAACTGATTGATGAATATGCACCTGGGTTTAGCTCATCCATCATTAGCTATGACATGTTGACTCCTCTGGACCTGGAACGGGAAATTGGTCTAACAGGTATATAAAGTGAAAAAGATCCCAAGTAAATGCGACATGGCCAAACCATATTTGTCATTACTGCCCATTTGTATTCTGCAGGCGGAAACATCTTTCACGGTGCCATGGGATTAGACTCTCTCTTCTTGATGCGCCCTGTGAAAGGATGGTACGCGACTCTCAGTACTCATAACAGTCTTTACGATTGATGATTAATGATTCAAAACTTTGTTGGAATGTGAGACAGGTCAAATTACAGAAGCCCTTTGAAAGGTCTCTACTTGTGCGGCAGCGGAGCTCATCCTGGAGGCGGAGTTATGGGTGCACCTGGAAGAAACGCTGCACATGTTGTTCTTCAAGACTTGAAAAGAATCTAGCGAGGTTAATCTCAGACTGTGCAATGTTAACTCTCATGTGTAAGTTGTTTGCTATTGCTCTGAACCTCTGTCTTAGACAGAGGCATGGACACAGTTGTTATCAACGAATAATAAGCCTCCGCGTGTAGCTTAACCTAAAAATCCATAAACAAATATGGAAAGTGCCCTAAACAACGAAAATGGAAAGTGAACAAGCGAGCGACAACATCGGCGCCGCAAAAAAGTAGAATGATTACTCTCCCTCTGCGAGACGACGATGTGGAAAACGACACATACGAAGCTAAAATGCTCCTCATAGGCGACGGTGAGAGTTTACCTCCTACTCCTCTGCGTGACGGTGCACCGGAACTCCAGAAGTACAACATCCGCTCCATCGAGTCAACAGTCGTGATTCGTGAGCTAACGTCACAAGGTCTCTCCTTTCAGCTCTGGCCAGCCGCTTCTACATTGGTCACGTTGCTTGATAATTACCGACGTGACCCTAGCAACAGTCCACTCACCGCCACACTCTCGTCGCTGAAACCATCATCGCCGTTGAACATACTCGAGCTCGGATCTGGAACCGGCGTCGTCGGGATCGCTGCGGCAATCACTCTCTCTGCTAACGTCACGGTGACGGATCTCCCACACGTCTTAGATAATCTCAACTTCAACGCCGAAGCAAACGCTGAAACTGTTGAGAGATTCGGCGGGAAAGTCAACGTGGCACCACTCCGATGGGGAGAAGCTGATGACGTGGAGGAGGTTCTAGGTCGGAACGTTGACTTGATTCTGGCTTCGGACGTGGTGTATCATGACCATCTCTACGAGCCTCTCCTCAAAACGCTGCGTTTGATGCAGCTAGAGGGGAAGAGGTTCATTTTCCTAATGGCTCATCTAAGGAGATGGAAGAAAGAATCTGTCTTCTTCAAGAAAGCTCGAAAGCTCTTCGATGTTGAAGTTATCCACTCTGATGTTCCTCAAGAAGGTTCTAGAATCGGTGTTGTGGTCTACCGTTTTACTACGAAACAGCCAAATCAGAATGGTCGGATTGTTTCGTGTTAGCAATTGCATTGTCACGATTCATTTCCTTAATGTTTGCTTCTGACATTAATGTGGAAATTTGCTTCAAAATCAATACTTTATTGGTTTCTAATCTAACAGTTGCTCTATGATGTCCTTCTTCGTTGCTGTTATATAAAATCCAATACAAAAAAGATTTGAAATTTATGTTGTTCATATAAAATTGAATCGATATCTGGAAACTTAACGAATTTTGTATTTGGATTTAGATTGACTGAGAAAGATTTTTTTTTTTTAACCCAACTTTCATTATTTAACAATTATCAATCACAAAAGTCAGGTTTCTAAGTTTTTTTTTTTTTTTTACCCACTCTCTAGAATAACCCAATCTGGAATCATATATATAAAAGTCACGTTTCACTATCTCTTCATTGGTCGATTTGGCAATATAACTTTTAAAAACTATTATTTTCAACTAAACCATAAATAACATATTTATTTATATACATTTAACTCACACTTTAATATAAAATTGAAATCATTAAAATTATACATTAATTATATTTCTCAATTCAATTTTATTCAACACACACAATAAATTAAAATTGTAACTCCCATAATTTATTTTTCAAATTGTAACTCACATCACTTCTCATCCTATAAATACTTATTTTCTCATTCTCTTATTTTTTCATCCTCTTCCACTATATCTCAAATCTTAACTTTTTTTTTTGTTTTAAACTATAGAAAAGTGTATTTTAATTTGGAGAAAAAACATGAAATCATATATATAAAAGTTGGCCAACTCTCTCCATATGAATGCCACATCATCATATAAGAAAATGACATGTGTCATTCTACATTATTTAAATAAAAAGATTAGCAAAATTAATTGAGAGAAAATCAAAAGTCTTTTGTTTTGTTAAATTCTCCATTAATCTCACTATTAATTGATTTTTTTTGAAACTAAAAAATAAAGTAAAAGATCATACTAATGTATCAAGCACTACTTTCATTCTACTCTTCTTATATTATTAAAAAAATTTATCGATGGTCATTACTCGATAATGGCTAAAAAATTACTTGTGTTGTAGTTTATATATTTGCTACCTAACTTCATGTTTTTTTTTTTTTTTTTTTGTCAAACACCTAACTTCATGTTACGTTTTGTGAATATGGCATTCTCTCTTTTTATTTTTGTGCTTTATGATAAGTTTGTAACATTGACACATATTTTTTTCACTTAAGGGTCCTTTGAGACGTTAGACATACCAAGAAATTTAAAACACGAGACTCTCTCCTTTATGGTTGTATGCAAAGAGAGATCTAAAGTGTTGACTTAAAGTACTAGCATATCATGATGTGGTTAGCGTACTAGATGTCGAGAGAGTAAATGGAACAAAGAATTGTTTGTTTAGACTTAAGTTAGGCAAGTTTCAAACCACATAAGTAACATAATTACATATCATTGTTTCGATATATCATATACAATATTATTGTTGTATGTATTCATGATAATGAAAGATTAGGATCATAGGTATATAAATAATCAGGTTTATACATAAAAACGTGGAATTAATATTTCGAGTCAAAGATGAATCTAATCATAAAAATTATAACTATAGAAATAGATATGACTTTATTAATTACATAATAACACACACACAAAATAACATAAAACGCAACAAAAACCATAATCATATTTTTTCTGCAATTTTTAAAACAAAAACCCACGCGTAGCGTGGGTATTCATCTAGTAAATATTAATAGCACAAAATCTAAATATAAAGAAAATCTACTAGAATTCTGACGACGAAAGAGAGATATCCAACGAGAATCAAAAGAAAAAACAATGCCATTTAATAAAACATGCATACTGAAAGAAATAGGAATATCATGTGATTGTTATGGACGTGGCGATTGTGGTGGTTGATGGTTACGGAGGTGGTGATAGGGTGCTTTTAAAAAATAACATGAATCATGTAAAAATTACATCATTTATCATTTGTTGGAAATATATCATGTCATTTTTATATTAAAAAATACTTTGAATTACAATGGTTTTCTAAAAATAGCATGTGATATTCAAATCCAAGGAATATATAGCGATGAAGGCAAATTAAGAATTATGAACGGCGATGGACATAGACTAGAGTTGTTGTCGGAGAGGCTACTCTCGATATCGGAGGAGATAAAGAATGTGGAGAAATAATAACAATTAGGGAAAGAGGAGAAGAGGCGGTAACAGTGATGTTGGTGTTGATGACGATGTTTCAAGCTTGGTGGTGGTGGCGGTAAATGTTGATAAAGGTGGTGGGTCGGAATTAGCAAGATTCGATATTGATGGTGGTGGTAATTGTGATTGTAGTGAAATTCAGTTGTGATGGTGGGTCAGAGTAGTGAGACTCGGTGGTGATGCTCGACGAGGGGGAGAAATGGAGATAGGGAAAGAGAAAAAAAGATATGGTCGTGATGAAATCCGACGAGAGGGAGAGAGGAAGAAAGAAAGAGAAGATCCAACGAAAATAAGAGAAATCTAATGAGAGAAAGAGGGAGATCTGAGACTTTCTCGCTGGCAAGAGGAATGAAAAAAAAAATGAACGAAGAAGAAATGGGTAATATGGGCCTAAAATTGACAACAACCACGTAGCAAATAGACATTGTTTTTTTTTTTCGTTGATTTAATTGATGTTGAAAAATAGAAGAGTACAAAGAGAGTCCAAGCAAATAATGAAAACAGAGAAAGGAATGTAAAATAGTGTTTTAATAATTAGTAATTTAGATGATTTAATAATTAGTATAACATAACTACAAATAGTGTTTTATATGACGCAATATGCATAATAAATCTATATTTAAAAAATAATTAAAATGTTGTACTTTCTAAAACTAAACATATATGTTTATATAATTGTAGTTAAGCTTATAAAAAAAATTAAGAATAATAATTTGACCGACAACCTGTGCAACGCACGACAACATATCTAGTAACATATATTTATTAATGGGTACAAATAGATAATATAGTAAAGTAAAAACTACTAATATATGAGCAAATGCAAGATATCAAATCTTAAGAGCTTTTTAATTTCTTCCAATCATACTTATAGTAAAACAAAATTATTTTATAAAAAGATGTCCCGCCGCGTAGCACGGGCTTTTATCAAATCCACCGAGAATAGCCTACTTTTTGTAATTAGCTAGCAAAACTACCTTTGGTTGAGGTATTTTGTCCACCAATAAGCTACTTTTTGCTAGCTAATTAAAAACTAGCCCATGGGTTACTTTGCCTCTAGCTAGACTGGATCCTTGTAATTAAAACTCGCTCCTTGTATTCTGCTTTCCAGTTCTGTTGTGAATGGATCACATTTTGAAGACTTCTAGCTAGACACTACTGGGCGTATCAAACGTTGTCGTCGCATCCGGAAGCAGTTTCGAGGCCTTATATGTGGTTTGCTTCCTGGGTTATGAAGTTCTTGGTTCTAGGTTTCGAGAGATTGACTCTCTTAGTGATGGGAGGTGGTAGATGTTATCTTTGGGTTGGCCTTGGGCACTTTTGATAAATCTCTTCTACAAGAGCTTCAGGAGAAGAGGTTTTTGCTTTCTTAGGTCTAGTGTGTTTCCTAAGGTTCATGCCTTTTTGCTTCTGTTCTTAGGATAAGGGTTTGTCCTCTTTCGATATCAGTTTGAAAGTTCTTGCTTTGTGGTTTTATCTTTAGTTTCCTTTCTATAGGGCTTAGATTCCAGGGGATCTTTGTTTCCTCCGGCTGTGACTCCAGAAACTTGTTCGTCGTCCGCTCACATTAGCTTTCTTTTTTTGGACGTTTGTAATTCTCTTTGATTCCAACAAGGTGTATTAATATAATTCAGATGACAAAAAAAAAAAAAGGTTACTTTACCTTTACTCGAAGAGATTGCAAAACACACCAAAGTTGCATGAAAGTTACATCAAGTGTTCTCATAAAGTTACCGGTTAATAATAACAATAGCTTGGTGAACAAAAAAAAAATAATAATAATAATAATAAAAACAATAACTTTCCGTTAAACATCAAATAACAAAGGCCAATTCCCTCACGAATAAGGAATACATCAATCTGCACAAAGTGAGGACAAAACAAATTGATGTTTTTGGTATAGTTATACATTTGATGTGCATACTTCAATTATTGGTGGCTTCTGTACAGATCGATGCTCCCTAGTTGTAGTCTCGAGGTCGAATTCACGTCTCGTACACTTAAAAACCGGAACCTGCAACATACACATTAGATATGACCATAAGAAAAAAAGAAAAGAAAAATGGGACTCTGTCTGATCAAACTCAATTCAAAACACATTTGTGATTATATCAGGGAAAAGTTATTTACTATACCTGAAAAGATTTGCTTGGAATCCAGGTGTTGTTATTTTGTAGGATTTGCGTTGGAACCGCTCCTCGAATACCTGACTAGTTTGCTTGTCTAGAACACACCATGACGATCCACCATCGTTACTCCCTTCAAGAACCCTGGTGGAGGCAACAAAAACAGTGTTAAAGCATCGATTGTGTATGTTTAGACTTGAATTATAGGAAAAAAAAACATTACCAATCTTTGGGGTCTCTCTCTGGGGCATCATTAGCAGACATGATCTCGTATGCTATGAGTTGGTGCATCTGGTTGTAGAGTGTTTTGTACACGATCCAACAGCCTGTGCAAGGAGAGATCGGTATTTCGCATTATAAAATGTAACAAATATCAGAATTTTGGATCAAACTTTGTTTCATACCTTTTGCACCATTTGGTTCTTCCCATTTGGACTCTTGGATTCCATCAAAAGCTGCGGTTGCCTGAGGCATTAAGCGAGGCATGCTATTTAGGAATAACCAAAACGAGTTTGATTAATGGTAAGCCTACAAATTTTTCTACATTGTTTTGAATTTTATTTTTCAGCCGAATTATATCTAAGAACGATGCACTAGTTGTAAAAACGTATATTTTTTCTTTTGAATATAATTTAATAGGATACTACTTACAATGCCAGAAGGAAGCTCTTCACCACTTGCGAGGACAGAACCAGAGCATATCCTATTCTGTTTAAGAAGTGGAAAAGACAGTGAATCTTTGTTTACGTTTTGGCATTTGCTGAGGTCAGCAATCAGTTCCCTCAAAGCGTCCAATGCAACTGGCAATGCTATAGCAGTTTTTGTAGGTTTCCCGTCCAAGCATAGTGTAACACTTTTATCGTTTGTGTCTCGC